CTTAAAGCCACCCTGACATGTGATAGGAGCTCACTGTAAGTTAATTCTTTTGTGGCTTTGAGGGTCTAGAGTCTCGTCTGAGCTCAAGTTGGCTGTGTTCACAGTGAATTGATAGAACAGAGCAGGATATTTGAGAGGTCAGGAGTGTGACAAGGAAGAAAGACAACTACCTTTAAGCTAGATATCACCTTCCCCCAGCTCCATCCACTTCCCTTCCCCTGGGGAAGACCTGGAAACCTGAGCTCATCCCCAAGGCCAGGGAGGGGCTCCAGGCTTTTTGTTCCATCCTTCCCTGAGCAGGCGCAGCTCCCTTGGGGCCTGTACCTCCTGCCCTCAGACTTACTATTCCTCCAGCTCCCAGCTCCCTCTCCTCTGGAAATGGTGCTGACACTTGAGATGGGTGGGGCTGGAACTGACACAGCTCCAGCTGAACCTAGCCCCTCCGCCATAGTCCTAGAGGTCATGGTCAGCAGCTGGCAGGACACCCTGATTTCCCTGTGGGCCCAGGGTCCTGTGGGGATGTTGCATTACCACCACCCCATAATACCACAGGTACTTTGTGTGGAAATTGAGGGGTAGGGGTGGGAGGGGTAGGAACAAGCCGCAAGTGAACCCTGGTACCATCCTGGGGATGATAATAGAAAGGTAGAATATTTAAATCATTCTTAGCCAATGAGCTCAGTTTTTAACGCCATGTGGAGCATTCCTGACCCTTGTCTCCTTTGTTTACTATCAACAGTGAGCAGTGTCCCTGTGATCCCTACCTCTGTGCTTTGTTTGGAGAAGGCCTCAAATATTTATTGAATAAATGTTCCTTATTTCCATTCTCACTGACTGTTCTTACACTGAGGCACTCATGACTTTGTAACTGGCCTTTCTGGCTTGTTTTGCTCCTTCCACTCAATCCAATGGCTTCTCCACCATCAATACTATCACTTTCCTCACAAATAACAGCTACTATTTATTTTAAAACTGTGCCAGGCGATAATGCTGAGCCCCTTGCCATGTCTTACCCTCAAAATAACTGAGATTGGTTATCATTATCCCTATTTTACAGATGAGGAAACTTAAGACAGAGTTAAGCGATTAGATCAAGCTCATACGATCAAGTAAAGGTTTTAACACCCATATCATACTGCTTTTTAGAACCCTGTTGCCACTCCATTGCTCAGAAACCTTCAGAGGTTCCCACTGACTAAGAGATTAAAGTTCACATTCCTCATCTCCCCAGCTAGGAGGGCTCGTTTCCAATCTACACAGCTCCAGTTTGTCTCCCATTTTTCTTTTTGTTGAGAGAGACCCTAGGAGTCAAGAAACTTAAATTCTAGCTCTGGTTCTGCCACTCACTAGCTCTGTCCAACAAGAGCATAGAATCAGAGCCACGACTGAGTTGGTGAACCCAGCCGACTGGTCTGAACACTACTGGCCTACAAATAAATGGTCCTGACACAGATCTTTGAGTGTTGGCAAGTCTTACAAGTGCACAGGGAGGTGTTTATAGCCTTACTTTCCAATTCCTTCTCAACCCATTTTATCTTTGAGATGTTTGTAATACTGAAAAATTAGAAAAACCTAAATGTCCAATAATAGATTAACTGGAAAAACTAAATGTCTAAAAATAGCTTATTATTTGGAACAAGCTAAATGCCTTTGGCTCAATTCTTTTTTGTGGTGAGGATTAAAGGAAAATGTGTGTGAAAGTATTGTATAACTTAAAAAGTATCATACAGCTGTTGATTTGTTTATTGTCATTCATTATATTTCTACAGTAATTATAAAAATACTTTAAACTTTACAAGTAATTCCCCAAAAGATCCCAAAATGCTTTGAGCAATTCGGCATCCCTGGAGTTATATTTATAAGCTCTCATAATGATTATTTTGAAACATAGTTTGAATATATAAAAATACTTTTTAAAAATTTCCCAATAGCAAAAGTATTTTTACCATTGATAGTTAATAAGGGATGTTTATCAAAGAAATAACCCAGAACTGAGTGATTTGAGTTTGAAATGGAAAGGTGCACTGAGTCCCAGCACAACGAATGAAAAAGACTGCCACTAAGACACACCATTGTGGCATTTCAGAGCACGGGGGATAAAGAGAACATTCTACAAATCTTCCAAAAAGAAAAAAGTTACATAAAAAGGAACAAGAATCAGAATGGCATCAGACTTTCAACAGCCGTATTGGATGCTAGAAACAATGAAGAAATGCATTCATAATTTTAAAAGAAAATTATTTCAACCAGTAATTCTCTCAATTAAGCTACTCGTCTCTGAAGGAGGAATAAAGACATAATCTAACTTATTTTATTTCCCATGTGCCTTTTATTATGAAGCTACTTGAGGATATGCTCCAGAAAAATCAGGAAGTAAAACAAAAGAGACAATGATGCGGTCCTAAAAAATAGGGGGTCTAACTCAGGAGAGAGATGAAAAATATTTCAGAATGACGGCTGCACAAAGGATTAGAGATTTTCAGTCCAGATTAGAGAGAGAGTTCTAGAAGAAAAAGCCTCCAGGACAAAACAGATTCAGTAGAGTAATAATATTTGGTTGAACCATTTGAAATTGATGTTTTTGTAGATTAAAAAGTTAACCGATAGCAACGTGATACGCAGCATTAATAATAGCTACATTCATAGTGTTTGTTATGCGAAAAGCAGTGTTAGGTACTATACAGGTATTGTCTCATTTAATCCTCAGAACAATGATGAGGTAGGTACTATTATTTTCTCTGTTTTAAGACTGAGAAAACTGGGACAAAAGAAAGGTTAGGTTAGGATCGGGTTGCCCAAGGTCATCCAGCACATATAAGTATTGGAGCTGCCATTTGAACTCAGGCAGTCTGATTTCAGAGTATAGATTCTTAACGATTATGGTATATAGGCATGAGAATAGAGGATCCTTTTCTGTGGAATCTGACCAGTCCCAGGAGAAAGACCTGCAATACCGACAGCCAGGGGACCATACAGTGAAGCCCACTGTGCACAAGCCCTGCCTGCCTCTCAGGACTTCCTATCAGCTGTTTTTTTTTTTTTCCCCTGCTTTATAGCCCCAAACCCCCCTTTACATAGTTGTATATCTTAGTTGCAGGTCCTTCTAGTTGTGGGATGTGGGACACCGCCTCAACGTGGCCTGACGAGCGGTGCCATGTCTGCACCCAGGATCCGAACCCTGGGCTGCTGCCGCAGCGGAGCGCATGAACTTAACCACTTGGCCACAGAGCTGGCCCCCTATCAGCTGTTTTTGAAGGAAATCTAAAATGCATCATTAGTATTGGTGGAGAGATAAGAGAATGCATTGGCAAAACAAGAACAGAATACCATGAAAAGGAACGTTCAGAGAACAGAAGTCTTAGAAATCAAATATAATAGCAGAAATGAAAAGCTCAATAGATGGATTGGAGGATGAAGTTGAGGGTATCCAGAAATTAGAGCATGAAAGTAAGAGGTGGGAAACAGACGAGAAAAGAAAATTAGGAGATCAGTCCAGGTGCCTCAGCTCTAAATAATAGGCATTTCCAAAGAGAACAGAGAAAGTGGAAGGCAGAAAATAATCCATGAAATTATTCAAGGACATTTTCCAGAACTGAAGGTTATGAGTTTTGAGATTGAAAGGGCCTGCTCAGTGCCCAGAACAAGGGGTGAAACTAAAGCCACTAGAAAACGTCATTGTAGAATTTCAGAACACAGGGGACGAAGAGATCTTACAAGCTTCAAGGGAGAAAAGAATGTCACACAAGTCACAGAATTGAAAGTGACTTTGGATTTCTTACTATTAACACTGCAATCTAGAAGGAATGCCTTCAAAATTCTGGGAGAAGATGATTTTCAACAGACTAGAGATAACCTGTGTGTATATGTGTGTACGTGTGTGCGCGTGTGTGTACACATGGAAGTTTGGGAGTGGGTAGGGAGGGTATATGAGAGCTGATCCTCACAGGTCATAACAGAAAGTAAATAGGCACTGTTTACACTGGATCAATTAAGGAATGGCATTATAAGCACCTAATATAGAATTATGGTAGAATCTACTGGAAGAAATAGCTGAAAAAGTTAAAAGTGGTTGCTTTTAAGGAAGCTGAGTGGAGGGGGAGGGGTTGGTGAGCAGGATATGGTCAGTAGCTATTGGTTTTCATTATGGGCCTCTGTCACCCTGTGATTTCTAAATCTATATACATGAATTTGTTTAATAAAATTTTAAAATCACTCGTCTTGCATTACTTCATTAGGGTTATGGAAGGATCAAATGGAATAATTGGTATGAAAAAGTTTGTGAATTGTAACAGTTATTCAGTTAAAAGTGATGATAACGATCATGGCTAAGAGGCAGAATACTGTTTTGTGGGGTAGGTTGTTTGGGAGTTAGATTTGGTAGATGATGATGTCGTTGTGTCAGTTAACTATGGCCACAGTAGTGCAATCACACAACTTCAGCAGCATACAACAATAGATACTCATTTTTGCTCTTGAGTCTAGAGTCGGCTTGTAGGTTTGCTGATCTGAGCTGGGCTCAAGTGATGTCACCTGGGCTTGCTTGCGTGTCTGAGCCAGTTTCTGTGGTTTGGCTGGTCCAGGATGGCCTCAGCCACGTAGCTAGAGGTTGGGTATCTGTCAGGGGAAGCACTAGCTCTCTCCCACGTGTTGTCATCATCCAGCAGGCTAGTCTGGGCTTGTTTTCGTGGCAGAGGCAGGTGTCCAAAAGAGGCTGCAAGTGCACAAAGCCTCAAAGGCCTAGGGTCAGAACTGGCACACTGTCACAACTGCCACATTCCTTTGGCCAAAGCAAATCACGAAGGGTAGGAAGGAGATTCCATCCCTTTATGGTAGGAGCTGCAGATTCACACTGAAAAGGAAGGGTGGAGAATTGGGGCCATTTTTGCAATTCATCTAGCATAGTCATTGAAGCCAAATATTTTTATCCATCTACTTGGAATGAGAACATGGAAGGACATCTAAAGACTTGTAACTGAATTTATTTTCTTTTTCCTTTGTAGACAATAAGGAAGATATCTGAGTTTTCCAATTAGATCAACAAGTTCAAATTCTTAGCATGGAGAATTCAGAGAAGACAGAATTGGTTCTCCTTGCCTGTGGTTCCTTTAATCCTATCACTAACATGCACCTCAGGTTATTTGAACTGGCCAAGGACTACATGAATGGAACAGGTAGGAACAGTAACCAACAGTAATGGGGTTTAGGGGTGCTGGCCCAGTGATGCCGGCGTTAAGTTCACACGTTCTGCTTCAGCGACCCAGGGTTCACCAGTTTGGATCCCAGGTGCGGACATGGCACCGCTTGTCAAGCCATGGTGTGGCAGGTGCCCCACATATAAAGTAGAGGAAGATGGGCATGGATGTTAGCTCAGGACCAGTCTTCCTCAGTGAAAAAGAGGAGGATTGGCAGCAGATGTTAGCTCAGGGCTAATCTTCCTCAAAAAAATAAATAATAGGGTTCAGGACACATTACCCCAAAATATGGCATATTGGATATTTTAAGCTGAAGGAGTTTGAGAAAAGAGCAAAATCAATAAGGTCACTCTGACGTTTCCCCCACCTTTCTCCCTGAAAGCAGGTCATAAAACCCTCATGTGAGAGGTGCCCTCCCTCTACCAGGAGGAAAGGAGCATCTTTATCTCCAAAGAAGCCAAACGGACAGGCCTTGCCGAGTGGCCCCCAGTTTACTGCGCTTGCCCTGTACTCTTTGCCCTGTCATATTTCTCCATGACTGTCCACTCTGCATCAAACCTAGCATGAATGTTCTCAGGTTTAACTATTTCTTGGGGTTCTCATTTCCTTATGAAGGCTCCCATGTCACATAAACCTTCTGTTAAATAAATTGGTATGTTTTTCTCTTTGTTTTTAAAGATTGGCACCTGAGCTAACAACTGTTGCCAATCTTCTTCTTTTTCTTTTTCTGCTTTTTCTCCCAAAATCCCCCCAGTACATAGTTGTATATTTTAGTTGTGGGTCCTTCTAGTTGTGGCATGTGGGACGCCACCTCAGCATGGCCTGGCAAGCAGTGCCATGTCCGCGGCCAGGATCCGAACCAGAGAAATCCTGAGCCACCGAAGTGGAACATGCGAACTTAACCACTTGGCTGTGGGGCCAGCCCCTGTTTTTCTCTTGTTAATATGTCTTTGTCAGTTTAATTTTCAGACCCAGCAAGGGACCCTAAGAGGGTCGAGGAAAACGTTTTCCTTTTCTATATACACACAGATTTCTTTTGTTTCATTACATAAGTGATCATGCTGTATGCCAAGAGATAGATGGATGGATGCTGAAACTCACTATAATCCTAATAATCAGGGAGCTAAAATAATAAATGAGATATATTTTGCCCATCACATTGACAAAAATTTTTAAACTTGATAGTGTCAAGTGTCAGAGGTTGGGGAGAAATGGGCTTTTGTATGCACTATAGGTAGACAGTACAAATTGATTAAGGCTTTTTACAAGGCAATTTGGCAATATCAGTCGAAATTTAAACTGTGCAAGGGAATGGGGAATCAGTGTTTAATGGGTGCAAAGTTTCCGTTGGGGAAGATGAAAAAGTCTGCAGATGGACGGTGGTGATGTACAATGTGCATGTCCTTAATGCCAAGGACTGTACACTTAAAACGGTTAAAATGGTAAATTTTATGTTATGTATATTTTACCACATGAATGAATGAATGAATGAATGTGTGAAGAAACCTGAATCCCTGTTTACAAAAATAAAGTGAAAGGGGATCTGTGATTATAAAACCATATTGATGATCATACTTCCTGTGCATAAAATGTAATTTGTTATACCTTATACCAAATCTAACTCTTTATCCAGGAAAATATAAAGTTATCAAAGGCATAATTTCTCCTGTTGGCGATGCATATAAGAAGAAAGGACTCATCTCTGCCCATCACCGAGTTTTCATGGCACAACTTGCCACCAAGAATTCAGAATGGGTGGAAGTTGATACGTGGGAAAGTCTTCAGAAGGAGTGGGTAGAGACTGCTAAGGTGCTCAGGTATTCATGGGGAAAGCGACTTTGTGAGTTCGTGGAAATACATTGGGGGCTGTTGTGGCTTTTTACCATGTTTCCATGCTGCCTGTGTCTGAACCACAGATTTGCAAAGCTGTCACTTGATTTGGAAAGGCTTGGGCTGTGCCCTTCCTGTGTGAGGTTCCTGCATGCTGTGAGGCACAGCAGAGCCCACGTATTCCTTCGTCTTTACGTCTTTCATTACATTCTGAGATGTTTGCATGCTCGTTACTATGTTAGAGAATATGCCTAGAGAAGGCTGCCTGGCCTGTCTGTGCCCCAAATGAGAAAGGCAAAGTTGTAAGACGATGTGACCGTCATCAGTCTGCTTAGGTATTAAAGAGAGAGGCAGAGTGAGCTGCTTCCTGATGAGCAGAAAGAAGTGGGAGTGAGAGCCTGGTTGGCAGTTCTGCCAGGTCCTGGGCCCAGGGCACGAGATGCTCAGTGTCTGGCTCCACCTTGCTGCCTGCTGCCAGCGGGCCTGCAGTGACAAACTTCTCTAGGGCTTTGATTTAAAGCAGCATTTCTCAAGCCTTTTTAACCTGTGCTCAATTGGCCAAGAAGATTTCGTCAGGCGTTCTCTTCTGTATTTTGAATTATAAACAAAATTTTTGTCACTTTCCACAATAAAACTTTAATTATAACAACAAAAAAAAAGATGAGAAGTTGTGATGCTTGTCATGGACAGACCTGAGTTTAGGTACTGCTTCCATGACAGCATAAGGGGTTGTCACAGATCTCTGTGCTCATAACTTTGAGACAGTTCCAGTTAAGGATTCAGAAACCAGAATGAGTAACATCTAATTATTACTTAATATTGTCTTGAGTATAAAATAAGGGCTTTCTGACAAACCTTTCTGTTTGTCTGTTCTTAGGGTTCTGAACCTTCTGGTTCTGACTGTAGCAGTTGGGGTTGATATAGGAACTAGAAACCACTCTGAGTATTTTAAGCAGAAGGGGATTTAGGTGCTTATGCAGAAGTTGTTGAAAGGACTAGAGGAGTGGAAGTGGGGTTTGTTTCAAGCTCATACCTCCTCAGCTGCAGTCAGAGTTCAGGAAGCCCTTCCTGCCCCTGCGCCTCCAGTGCTGCTGTGAAACTCCTAGGCTCCTAAAGCTGGTGACTGGAGAGTGGAATGAAGTCTGCCCACCATGCTCACGCTGTAAGACATTGCTTGTCAGGCTCTACAGCTGCAGAAGGATGGCCTCTGCCTCCCTTCTGCCTTCCAAACCTCTCATGAGTGAATCTCATCAACAGAATCTGGATCACATCCGCAACCTGCTGCAAGGACCTCTGGGAAATGTGTTTAGGGTAGGATCGGACACTGAGCCAGCAGACAATATCTAGCACAGCGACTTATCAAGAGGCCTGACTCTTCAGGCTTGTCAGGCAGAAGAGAGTCTCCCCTGTTCATTGGCTAGAAAGTCGCCCATCAGACATCAGGCTCCTGCGTCCCCACCTTACGTAGCCCTCCTCAGCTCCATGGTAACCCTACTGTTCATCACATACTAACTCAGCAATTCAAGAGGGAAGGGATTTAGGGGCATAAAGGACCCATAGTTGGCTCCAAGTGTAGCTCATGTTACTTGGGTAGCTTTTCCCAGTAAGGAGGCATTGGGCCTCCTCCTGCCAGCCCGGAATAAAGCTGTACCCAATGCTGCCTGTGGTCCCTTCCTGTTAGGCTCGGCCACTTGTCCCGCTCTGGGACCTTATCCTTGGCGTTGTGGTTCTTCATTACCAGGTCAAGCGACCCTCTTCAGTGGTCAAGAGAGGGCTCTGGAGCCAGACTGCCGGGATTCAAATCCTGGCTCTGCTCCTTATAAGCTAAATGGCCTTGGGCAAATTAATCAGTTTTCTCTTCTCTCAAGGGGACTAATAAGCAATTCTGTTATAATGGTGGCAATAATGTAGTTGCTTCATAAAACCAAAACCTTCACTCAATGAAGTTGTTATTGAATGCCTTGTATCTTCCAGGGTCTCTCCTAGGAGCTGGAGTTATAACTCTAAGCCTTCACTTCCTCTCCATTATGGGAATAATAATAATAATAATATTATTTATGACATGGGATGTCAAGAAGATTTAATCAGATAATCCATGTGAAGGATTTAGTGTACTTCTTAGCGTATAATAATGTTACTTTTTGGGGCTGGCCTGGTGGCGCAGCGGTTAAGTGCGCACATTCCACTTTGGTGGCCTGGGGTTTGCCGGTTTGGATCCCAGGCGCGGGCATGGCACCACTTGGCATGCTGTGCTGTGGTAGGTGTCCCACATATAAAGTAGAGGAAGATGGGCACAGATGTTAGCTTGGGGCCAGTCTTCCTCAGAAAAAAGAGGAGGATTGGCGGCAGATGTTAGCTCAGGGCTAATCTTCCTCAAAAGAAAAATAATAATAATACTGTTACCTCTTGTTATTATGACAGACACAGAAAGCCTAGGATAGTAATAGCTACCATTTGGATTCCCCTGCCTTCCATTCCCCATAGCCAGTCCCCAGCACTGCAGTGTGATGGCCAGCATCCGTTCTGACCCGGCAGTACTGTGTACTGGTCGGCATCCATTCTCACTGGCCAGGCATTGTGTGTACCTGTGGTTAAGTGGTTTTAATATCGCCCAGCCTTTAACATTGGATCAGAGGCTCTTAGGCATCTCCTGAGGGACGATATTTTAGTTACGCATTGTGAGAAAAAGGAATGTTCTCTTGCTTTTTTGTTTTATAGACACCATCAAGAGAAACTAGAGGCTAGTAGCTGTGGTAACGAGCAGGGCTCACCTGTGCTGGAAAGGCCTGGACGGAAGAGGAAGTGGGCTGAACAAAGACAAGATTTTAGTCAAAAGAAATCCCTAGAGCCAAAGACTAAAGGTCTGTATGTTTTACCAGGACTTACCGATTAGAGTTGTATTTTTGTTCATATTCAAAGTGTGTGGGTACCTGGAAAATGCACTCTGTTAGTTCTGTGACGGGAGAGGGAGGGTAAAGGCACCCTGAGCTTACTTCTCCTGCAGAGGTCTGTAACTTTGCAGATGTCCTAGATCTCTTTCGAGAACCTGAGTCCTATAAAAACTATGAACCCTCTAGCCAGAAAACCACAAATACAGATTCATTTTCATAAAGGGAGTTATTAGAAAAGCAAACCCTAAAGCTGTGTTTTCTTCTTCACAGGTGTGCCAAAGGTAAAGCTGCTGTGTGGGGCAGATTTACTGGAGTCCTTTGGTGTTCCCAATCTGTGGAAGAGTGAGGATATCACCCAAATTGTGCGAGACTATGGGCTCATATGTATTACTCGGGCTGGAAATGATGCTCAGAAATTCATCTATGAATCCGATGTGCTGTGGAAATACCAGAACAACATTCATCTGGTGAATGAATGGATCACCAATGACATCTCATCCACAAAGATCCGGCAAGCCCTCAGAAGGGGCCAGAGCATTCGCTACTTGGTACCAGATCTTGTCCAAGAATATATTGAGAAGCATGATTTGTATACCTCTGAGAGTGAAGAGAGGAATGTCGGGGTTATTCTGGCTCCTTTGCAGAGAAACATGGCAGAAGCTAACTCATAAGAAATTCTACAGCCTGATATTTTGGACTTCCCTTTTGGGAATTTGAAACAATCTAGGTGTTTGTAACTGGGGAAAGGAATTCTGATCCTGTTTCATAAACTAAAGCTTGAAAGTTTGGGAAAAAATCAGTAGTAAATGAAAATCAGGTTTATCTTATTATCAGAAGTTGCTAAGATGAATGTTTTCAGTATGGTCTTTTTTTTTTTTTCCTATAGAAGGTACAGATCTCTTTATCTTTAAAACAAGAGATTAGCAGCACTAAAACCAGAACATTCAGTCAAATTAACTACAAATAAGAAATCAAAAAGGATATCCTGGCTTTACCACATAAGAGAAGCTAAATGTGAAAAGCGGGAGTCCATTTAAAATCCTGAGTTTAGCTATGGAGGGAACTAACATTTTGTGCATGCCTATTTCTGGGCAGTCTTCACCAAGGGTGGCCAAAGAAGTAATTCTTAAAATAGAATAGTTTTATGGTTCATGAAAATCGTTCTGTGACAGAAACAGGTCTAAAGTTAACTTTCTAATGAAAATAGAATAATTTACCTTTTTACAATTTATATTTCATACCTACACCACTCTAGATGAAGGATTTATAACTCTGCAGAAGAAAAAAAATACGTAATTGTGCAATTACGTAGTCAGATCTGAAACCATGATTTACAGGAGGAAAATGTTGGGCCAGCCCTGGTGGCCTAGTGGTTAAGTTCGGCGCACTGCACTTCAGTGGCTTAGGTTCGATTCCCGGGCATGGACCTACACCGCTCTATTAGCAGCCATTCTGTGCTGGCAGCCCACATACTAAAAAACAGAGGAAGATTGGCACAGATGTTAGCTCAGGGTGAATCTTCCTCAGCAAAAAAAAGGAAAATGTTAAATAAAGCTGGCAAATGTAAATTCTACAGCTCTTGACTTATTCTTACTAAAGTCAACAGGGCAACTTCTCAGAGATAAGGAAGGATGCAAAGCCTGGCACCCAGTAGGTTTCAGTCTCTGCTGAATGAATGAAAAGTTAGGATGTCAGGTCTGAGAGATGAGCATCATTCTTCCCCTCCTTACCTTTTTGGAGTTTGAGTTGGAGCAGCACTGAAAAATAACAATCTAGAATCAGATGAAACTATCAGAATTTGATTGATTTCTTCTCCTGGAAAACTACACTCAGTTCATCTGAATCGTTGTGTGAACTGCAGAAAGGTTCTGTTGTTAGAAACTTCTCTTATACTGTGGTGCCTTCTTACCCAGAAATGCCCATACCCTGCTCAGCTGTGAGTGCATTGACCTCAGGACCCACTGAGTAAAGCATGTGGGAGCTCTCCCAGGAGCCCTGGTTGTGGTGAAATGATCCCTTGTTATACTATTTATGGATTAACAACTTTGTACATAGAACAAGCTACTTGGCTTCTTGTTCCAGTACCAAAGATGCTGCTGATGCCATAGCCTGATGGCATAGTTTTAGGTATCCTCAAGGACAGAACTTCCTCTTTGGCTAATGGAAATTAGAACAGTGAATTTCACAGGGGAATAAATATTAATAATTGTTGTGAATTCCACTGAGAAAGGAAAATATGCCATTGTTTACCCCCTACCAGAACTTTTTCATAATTTGCTTTCGTAATGTGAATTTTGAGTTTAGGAAATGTGTAAAGCTGGTGTTTTGTTTGTTTGTTTGATGCTGGTGTTTTTTTTATGTGTTGCACTCCTTTACCCCTTAGGTTGTTTGTATAATTTCAGTGGAGCCAACAAACTTGAAACATCTTCTACTGGCAGCTTCATTCAGTTGAACATACAGCACGTGGAGAGATTTGTTGTTGTTTCCTTGTTCAGTGGACAAGTGTGAACAGCAAACGTTTTAGACAGGAGTTGTGGGTTCTCCTTGGTAATCAGGGTGCAGAGGTTGAGCCAGAGATGTGATTTAGGTTCCTCTCCTGGCATCAAAGGATGCTCTTCCTTTTTCTGCCATCTTGACGATCTGACCCCAGGGTGGAAGGAAGCATCCACACAGGTCAGCATGCAGGGTAGTTGGAAAGCTACTATCTTCCTTACCCAACCTCTCTGATTCACTTCTCTGGGAGCCCAGAAGTCACTCTATTATGAAATGGGCTCCTTTAACTTTTATCTCTGGGGGCCACGGGGCATTCACTCCCCTGCCATTCTCATAATTGTTCCCAAATGATCGCAAACGTTCACACAGCGTCCACCCAACTGTGAGGATGCTAAACAGTGTCCATCTCTGCATTCTGTGCCTACTTTACCAGTGGTGCCCTTTGAATTTCACAATACCAACACTTATTGAGCACTTACTGAATACTGGGCATGTGCTAGGGAGTGCCTTATATCATAAAGAAACTGGCATGATTAGGTGATGGGTGTAAATGGCAAAACTGAGTCTTGAATGAGCAGTTTTTCTTCAGGCCTGTGCTCTTAACCTCTTATTTCCTTCCGCAACATATTATCGTTCAAAGAATGACGTTTTAGCCAAATCTTGACATTTTCACCCACCCTAAGAAGATGAGTACAAATAAATAAAACTTTCAGCAGTATGATAGTCCAATGGTGATGTGCGATGTGTCCAGACCACACAGAAGGTCTCAGTTGAGCTTGGTCAATGTTGGCAGTTCCTTGGAACTAGAGCAGTGAATACCCATCGGAGGGAGGAGATGCTAAGAGCCATAGTTCGCCCTGAGCCAGCAAAAGAAAGAAAACGCTCCCAGATGCCCATGCTAGTAGCGTAATGCGACCCTGCAGCGCTATCGCCTGAGACCGAGCAGAAGCTTCTGCCTGGGAGGCAGGGTTCTAGTGCCTGGCATGTCGTTCAGCTGATTCGAGGGAGTCACTTGACTCTCAGGGCCCCTTTCTATAAAATAATGTGATTATCTCTGCAGCCCTTCCCGTTCTGAAACCTTATCAACCTGATGGAGAGTTGGCACTCACAATGGCTTCTCACCAGTCTGAGCTGCCACCTGTCCCTTCCCTTCTGTGTGACCGGGGAGTATTTCTTGGAATGCTATCATTATGCGAAGTGCCAAGGGGGGCACGCTAGCACGAGACAGCCTGTGCCACCGCGTTGCCCATCGTTAGGTGGGGGGAGATGCTGCATTTTGCGTGTCAGTGAGGGACTCTCCAGAATCACTCCTGAAGCCTTCCTAAAAATGAGCGCCCACGGGCCCTGCAGGACAGGAAACCAGGTCAGTGGGCATTCCGGGGGAGCTTCTTATACTACAAGTTATTTGTCGTTTATCTGAAGTTCAAGGAGTCCTGTTTCTGTTTTATTTTTGTGCCAACTCTGGCAACCTTAGGTGGGAGGAACAACCTGAGAGGAGGTGTGAAGAAGACTAGGCATGCCACTGTGGGCTCCCACCAGGACAGCAGCCCGACAGGCCGAGCTGCGGAATGGGATGTGAGGGCACGTAAGGAGGAAGCTTGGAAGGGCCCAGGTAAGGTTTTTGTCCCATTAACAGTGGTGCCTGGCACATGGAGGGAAATCCTCTGCTTGACTCCTCCTCAGGGAGGGTCACCCTCCTCTTGCTGTCCTTTAATGAACTTGCTACGTCAATTTCAGCACTGGCATTCAGATCCATTTCTGCCTCAAGTGTCTTACCAAGTCTAATGCCTACAGGAGACAGTTTTTCCCAAATTCAGTTAAACTGCCCAATAAATTTTTCCAAACCAATGGGTAATATGACAAAAAAGACATTTTAAAACGTTAGAGAAAATATCAAACATGGACAAAATCAGTGATAATAGTATAGTGATCTCCTGCGTATCCAGGTCCCACCCCTGGGGCTGGACTGAGCTTCCTGATGGCTTTGCTTCCTTGCATTAGGAAGGGGAGATGTGGAGGGTGTGAAGTTTACCCAGTATCCACACCACTCCTTGCTGGACCAGTATCAGACTCCGTCAAGTGACAGAAGAGTCGTTCCCTACAAGTGCCCTTCGTCAATTCCCATCCGTTCCTGTCTGAGGAGCAGCACCTATATGCAGGGTTAGGACCTCATCTTGGCTATAATTTTATGGTTTACTTTGCCAGTATCAAATGGAAGGAAAGAAAGGGCTCCTATTTGGCCAAATAACTTTCTCCCCTCTTTCCTTTCCAGAGGTAACTTTTGGTCCTTGTCTAGAAGAAACATTATAGAATTGTGGAGGCGAAAATTACTCCTTATGTCATGGGCAAGTCCCATCTATGTCCCCTTCAACTGAAATTCAACCCTACCCGTAATAGATGACCCAAGCTGCCCAAAAGCCGCATCATCCAGCACGAATGCTAAAATTATTATTAGTTATTTCTGTGACTTTCATTTTCAGGCCAACATTGAGAGCAATAAGATTTAGAGAGAGGAAGTAAGCATGCTTTCTCCATATCCCGTTCCCTTAGTTATCTGGAGTTTAAAGAGGTTTCATGCTCCAGAAATCTGGTCAGAGATCAGAGTTCTGTGCCCTTTAAATGGCAAGGTGTATCTACTCCTAGGATTTGCTATCAGCCTGTCATATTCCACCAGAGGAATCAATGTCTTATAGTTTGGAGGATCAGCAGCCTCATTCTGGGCAAGGCAAGGCCACTCAAGCTTCTCAATGAAAATGGCAGTTCTGCTTTGCAAAAGGTTGTAGCCATTCATTCAACACAGCAAGCACGTGCAGGCCCTGTGCCAGGCCCTGGGGGTACTGCAGATGTGAATGAGATGAACCTGGTCTCTGCCCTGGAAATTTTAACGAAAAAAGTAGTCAAATAAGCCAAAAAAAGATAGTTATGATTTATGATAATAATGAAAGGAGCAAGCAGAGATGTAATGCAGAGTGAATGTCCATTTGAAGTCTATCAGAAGGCTGTTCTTGGGGCCAGCCCTGTGGCCGAGTGGTTAAGTTCGCGCGCTCCGCTGCAGGCGGCCCAGTGTTTCGTTGGTTCCAATCCTGGGCGTGGACATGGCACTGCTCATCAGACCATGCTGAGGCAGCATCCCACATGCCACAACTGGAAGGACCCACAACGAAGAATATACAACTATGTCCCGGGGGCGCTTTGAGGAGAAAAAGGAAAAAATAAAATAAAATGAAAAAAAGAAAGCTGCTCTGAAAAGGTGATTTAGAGATTTTTTTAAGAGATCCAACTATTTCTCTGTCCAAGTTCTAAACCAACTGCAAAATAAGACAAAAAAAGCAACAAATGGAGAGCCAAAACAGCACCTTTATTACTGATAAAGTCTAGAGTAGAAGTTGTAGCTTAGTATGAGGGTCAAAAGAGGGATTGGCAGCTGTGACAGATTGTGTTTTCCAAGATGGCTATTACAAGATGTCCCATCCCACATGCTCTTCTTACAATGTGACATTGAGAGATGAGGTCCGTGTTCCCTCCCTTTGTATTTGGATAGGCCTGTGACTGGTGGAAGTGATGTTATATGACTTCTGAGTTAGATCATAAAAGATAATACAGCATCTTCCTGCTCTCCTGGGATGCTCCCTGTTAGAACCCAGCCACCTGGGGGCGGGGTTGCATAGTGGTTAAGTTCACACGCTCCGCTTTGGCAGCCTGGGGTTCTCAGGCTCGGATCCCAGGGGCAGACCTAGCACCACTCATCAAGCCATGCTATGGCGGCATGCCACATAAAATAGAGAACGATTGGCACAGATGTTATCTCAGCACCAATCTTCCTCAAGCAAAAAGAGGAAGATTGGCAACAGATGTTAGCTCAGAGCCAATCTTCCTCATAAAAAAAAAAAAAAGAACCCAGCCACCCATGCTGTGAGGGAGCCCAAGCAGCCTGTGGAGAGGCCCACATGGAAGGAACCTGGCCCCCAGCCCACAGGCCTGGCTGGGCTCCCAGCTAACAGGCAGCCAGCACCAATTTGCCAGCCATGAGACTGAGCTGTGGAACTGTCTTCTCCAGCCCTCCCAACTGGAGTCAGCTTACCTCAGCTAATGCCACATGGAGCTGAGATGAGCTGTCCCCTGTAAGCCCTGCCCAAATTGCAGATCTGTGAACAAATTAATGATTTTTGGTTTTGTTAAGCCACTATATTGAGGGGGGGCAATAATAACTTACACTCCTCCAGTTTGGACTTTGGAGCAACCTACCTGAGGGGAAGTTTGGGTCTATAAAGAAGACACATTTTCAAGTCCATGTCAAAAGGGGAGAAGAAAAAATCGAAATACTCTGCATTTAGAATTTTTGATAGATTATCTCTACCTAATTGATAAAAATGGCTAAATGGCTGTTGCCCTGAGAGCAAGCACCTCATTCCAGTTTTCCTGGAATTTTCCAGTTTTAGTAGTGAAAGTTCCACATCTTGGCCACTCCTTCAGTGTTGGAGAAACCAGGATGGGTGGTCACCCCAGTTGTGGCCAACTGGGTAACTCATTCCACGGCCATGAGGAGGAAGTAAGCACAGGGGAAGGCCTAGAATGTTCAGGAAAATTCCCCGCCATGAGGGCTTGCTCACAAAGACTGTTTCCCTAATGGTGACTTCTGAGCTGGAAGCCAAAGGAGCTAACCGTGTAAAAGCCAGGAGAAAAACACCCCTGCAAGAGGAAACACCACATATGAAGACCCAGAAGGAGAGGGTTTGGCCTCGGCACAGAACCATCGCCACAACAAGACTGGCATGACTGGAGTTCCTGAGTTGGGGGAGACAGAATGTAATGCTGGAGAAGTATCCAGAAGCAAAACCAGGCATGGCTCTATGAAATATGAGAGAGAGTGCAAATTCCTTTAAAAAATAAAATGGGACAGGGGCTGGCCTAGTGGCTTGGCAGTTAAGTTCAGCACACTGTGCTTCGGAGGCCCAGGTTCTCAGGTTTGGATACCTGCACAGACCTACACCACTCATCAAGCCATGCTGTGGCAGTGACCCACATGCAAAATAGAGGAAGGCTAGCACACATGTTAGCTCAGGGCCTGTCTTCTTCAAGCAAAAAGAGGAAGATTGGCAACTGATGTTAGCTCAGGGCCACTCTCCCTCACAAAAAAATAAAAAAGGGGACCATGCTGAAGAGTTTTAAGCAGGGGAGTGATAAGATCTGAATTACATTTCTCAAAAGCTTGCCCTAGCAGTATGAAGAATGGTTTGGTGGGATCAGAGTAGAAGCAGCAAGTCCAGGGAGGCGGCAAGACATGATGGTGGCTTGGGTTGGGATGGTAAAAACAGCAGGACTTGCTGAGGGACTGGAAATGGGTAAGCAGAGAAGGGAGACATCTAGAGTGTGTAGTGGTTTTTTGGCTTGAGCAACCCCTTGATTAGTGCGCAATTTATGGAGACGAGGAAAGCCGGAGAAAAATTTTGTTTTACTCTTTCCGTCTTGGATGTGTTGAGTTTGAATGCCATTAAGACATCCAAGTAGAGGGGCTGGCCCCGTGGCCGAGTGGTTAAGTTCGCGTGCTCCGCTGCAGGCGGCCCAGTGTTTCGTTGGTTCGAATCCTGGGCGCGGACATGGTACTGCTCATCAAGCCACGCTGAGACGGCGTCCCACATGGCACAACTGGAAGGACCCACAACGAAGAATGTACAACTATATACCTGGGGGCTTTGGGGAAAAAAAGGAAAAAATAAAATCTTTAAAAAAAAAAAAAGACATCCAAGTAGAGACATCAGTAGGCACTGAAGGTGGCACATGAGTTCAGAAGTCAGGCAGCCTGGGTTTGAATCCAGACCCTTCCACCAACTGTATGACCTTGGGCAAGTTACTTCTCTTTGTCTCAGTTTTTGTCTCTGTCAAATGGAGATAGTAGAGTAACTACTAGAGGGCCTCCTGTGGCCTAGAGGTTAAGTTCAGTGCTCTGCTTCCGCAGCCCTGGACCACTCCTTAGTGGCCATGCTGTGGCGGAAACCCACATATAACATAGACGAAGATTGGCGCAGATGTTAGCTCAGGGTGAATCTTCCTCAGCAATAAATTAATTAATTAATTAATTAACTACTGGAGAAGCAGTAGGATTTTGTGACAAATGATAATGCACATAGTCATCACTCAATTAACATTGGCTCTTAGTATGTTCGAGTCTAGAGCTCATGGAGGAGGTCTGAAATGGACATGTAAGTCTTGGGCCAGCCTATATAGATGGTGTTTGTGGCTAATGTAGGTTAATGACCATTCCCAACCCCCTTCTCTTTTGCCTTTCTTTACGTCAAGGCTAAAAACTAGATACTAGATTCGCCGGGTTCCCTTGCAGTTAGACGTGGCGCATGACACAGTTTTGACCAACGAGTGTGAACAGAAATCCGAAGATGGGATCTGGGGGTGGGGTGCTTTCCCCGCTTTCCCCCCTTGAATGTGGATGTCCAGGCAGTGAAGTAATAGGCGGCAATAAAAGGCCAAGAGAATCCCAGAGATGCCGTTTCCGTTTCCGTGTTATGGAGTTGCCAAATTGTCACCAGCAACCGCTTCTCCTAGGGCTGCTTGATTGATCAGGAAAATAAACCCCTATCTATTGAGCCCACTAGAGCT